CGTCACCTCTGAGGAAGGAGGAGTGTTTGCCTTCTAAGGCTGTTTAGCTCAGATGTGCTTTACTGCCAAATTCAGAGACATATTTTGCCCTAGATGGAGATAAGTCACTCAGATACGATGCTTGATATCCTCGTGAGCTTGGGTGAGTCCTGGGTTGCGGCTTGGGAAAGACAAGGTCAAGCAGACACTGCGGCTGTGTGATGTCTGCCACTAGTCAAGTGGAACATTTCAGACCAAAAGAGAAGGAATGTGGATTTTTAGATGTGTCTTACTATCATTTAGTTGGGGTCTTAGTTACCCATTGCTGCATGCCAATTAGCCAGACAGTGAGGACACGGAAGCACCTCAAGCTGTGTCTGATTTCAGGGCCCAGGCTCCAGGAGTGTCCGGGCCAGGCCACCTGACTCAGCATCCCTCGCAGTGAGGGCACCAGGCAGGGCACAGCCAGGCAAGAACCTGCTGCCCTCTACGCACGTGGGCAGGGGCTGGCGAGGGCTGGAAACAACAGATCCCTACGCCATGGGCGTCCCACCGGACAACACACCAGGCAGCAGAGGGCCTGGGCAGGGCATGGGGGCAGGATGGAGCCACAGTCCTTCCAGTGTCCCCCCAATTACCACATACATGCTGGCTTCTCAGGGGCTCTGGGAAGGTGGGGGCTGGCTGCCCTCAGGGGTCACTGCTGTGGGGTGCTGAGTCTTGAGGCCACAGGGACCCTGCCCCTTACCCCTCCTCTGGAGTCAGCTCCCATCTTTGCCACCCACTGTCTCCCAGTAGCACTCTGGGGTCAGAGCACCATCCTCACCTTGTACCGTGGGTTTTATGGTGCCTTACTGTTTTGGGGTCTTACGTTTTTAATCCACTTTCTAGTGATTTTTGGAGTCCTTGTCCGTATCCCCCAGCACATATTTCAGCACAGCTGATGAGGTGCACAGCTGAACTTGAACCTTAAATTGTGCTTCTGGATAGTCCATCTGATCTGATCACTGGGCTGGCAGCCACGTGACCAGGGGCTGTGGTGTGCCCAGCAGGGACAATAGGACTGAGGAGTGACAACTCCCAAGGATGGACATGCTGATTGTGCAACGCTTGGCACAGTTTAAAACTTAGGCCTTATTTGTTGAATTCCCCATTTCAGGTTGTCATTGACTGGGATGTAAGACGGTAGGTAAGAGGGGCTACATGTGTGCTGCAGGATGAGGGCCACATGTCATCCTGCTGTGTGTGGATGTCCAGTTTCCCAGAAGAGTTTATCGAAGGGAGTGTCCTCCCCTCTTCTGTGATCTTGACACCTCTTTCTAAAAGGAGCTGCGAGGATTTATGTCTGAGCTCTCTTTTCAGCTCACTGTTTGATGTATTTGATGTCATGCCAGATGCTATCCGTGTCTTCTATAGTTGAGGGTTGTGCCTTCAGCTGTGTTCCTTGCTCACAGTTGCTTTGGCCATTTAAGCTCTCTGGTGGTAACTAACAAATTTTATTTTTATTTAACTTTGATTTCTGAGTAAGTGTCACTGGGATTTTGATCGGGGTTGCATTGAATCTGCGCATCACTGTGGGTAGTGTGGACATTTTAGCAGAATTAAGTCTCCCAATCCATGAACATGGGCTATCCTTCCACTCACTGGTGATTTCACCTATCAATCAATATTTCTTTAGTATGCAGTACACTTTTACTTTGTAAGTTAAGTTTATTCTTAAGAGTTTTTTTTTTTTTTTTGCTAGCTCTTATGAATAGGATTATTTTATTGATTTTTTCAGGTAGTTGGCTTAATATAAATGTGATTGATTTTTGTATTTTGATTTTGTGTTCTGTAGCATAATTGAGTTTTAAAAATTATTACTACTTGGTAGCATTATTAGGGTTTTCTGTATATAAGGCTGTGCACTGGCAAGCACTGACAGGTTTGCCTCTTTCCCCTTTGGATGCCTTTATTTGTTTCTGCTACCTAACTGCTCTGCTGGGACTTTAGTATTGAGCCGAGTCCAAATGGTGAGGGCAGACATCCTGGTCTTGCTCCTGACTTGCAGAAAGAGCTTTTGGCTTTACACTGGTGAGCATGCTATTGGCTGCTGTTGTGCTGAAATGCATTCCTTCGATCCTTAATTTGTTGAGAGGGCTTTTTAAAAATCATGTGACTTTTTTGTTTCAAATACTTATTCTGTATCTTTGAGATGGTTCTTTGGTTTTTGTTCTCCATTCTGTTAATCTGACAGATTATATTTATGTATTTGTGGATGTTGAACCATCCTTGCATTTCTGGGATAAAGCCAACCTGTTGGTGAATGATTCTTTTAGTGTGCTGTTGAATTCAGTTTAGCAGGATTTTGTTGAGGATTTTTATAGCTCTTTTTGTCAGCAATACTGGTCTGAGACTTAACAACGTTTTGTGGTATCCTTTTCTGGTGTTGGTATGAGGAAAACATTGGGGCCAAAATGAACTTGGAAGTATTTTCTCTTCTTCAATTTTTATGAGAAATTGAGAAGCATTGGTATTTCTTCTTAGATGTTTGGTGGGCCTGAGCGTTTCTTTGACATGAGAGTCTACTACTTGTTCAGTCTCTGTACTGATTGTTAGTTTGGTTAGATTTTCTACTTCTTCATAATTCCATCACGTCAGGTTGAATGCATCTAGGAATTTTGTTGTTTATGGTCCTTAGTAGTCTCATATGGTCCTTCATATTTCTGTGGTAACTGACAATTTCTCCTCTTTAATTTCTTATTTTATCTGTTATGTTTTCCTTAGAGTTTGGTCAGTCTTGGTATCTTTACAAAGAAGAAATACTTTTTACATCGATCATCTGTTGTTTCTACTATTGCACACATCTGTCCTCTGCTCTTTGTCATTTCTTTCCTTCCTAATTTTGGGTTTAATTTGTTATTTTTTAGTTTCTTGAAGCGCATTGGAGGGTATTTTTCTTTCTGTCTAGGCATTTACTGCAGTGAACTTCTCAGAGTTGCTTTTGTTGCATCCCCAAAGTTCTGTGTCTGTTTTCATCTGTCTCATCGCATTTTGAAATTTCTCTGGTTTTTTTTTTACCCATACTCCGGTCAGGTGCACGTAGGTTAATTTCAGTGTATTCATAAATTTTCCAAAAGCCTTCCTGTTGCTGATTCCTAGTTTCATAGCACTTCAGTCAGTAAAGGTATTTCATGATTCTAGTCTTAAATTTTTTAAAACTTGTTCTCTGGTGTGACATATGTGTCCTAGAGAACCTTTCCCGTGCACTGGAGAAGAGTGTACACTCTGCTGCTGGGCCTGGAGCATTCTGTATATATCTGGTTGGCCCGTTTAGTCTTAACATTTAGTTTAAGTGTAACGTTTCCCTCTCAGTTTTCTGTTTGGTGATCCCTCCCTTGCTGAAAGTGAGACCCTGGGTACGCACTGTATCCCCAGGGTCCGTTGCCTTCATTTCTGTCTTTTGCCTGATGCACTCAGGGATGCGCACATGGTCACAGCTGTTGCGCCCTCCCGATGACCTGACCTTTTGTGGCTGTATAATGCCTTTTGTCTCATTTTAGTTTTATATGTAAAGTCTGTCGTGTTCTGATATAGTCATGGCTGCCCTGCTCTCATTTAATTTCTGTTGGGAATATTTTTCTACCCCTTTACTTTCAGTTTCGGTGTCCTTAAGGGTGAGGTGTTCATCTGGCAGGCCGCACAGCTTTGGGCTTTTTAATTCAGTCAGTCACTCTCTGTTTTTTTATTGGATAATTTAATGCCTTTATATTCAAGGTAATCACTGACAGGCAAAATCTTCCTGCTGCCATTTTGTGCTTTTTTTTTTTTGGTGCAGGGTCTCACTATACAGCTCAAACTCATAGTGATCCTCTTGTTTTCAGGCTGCCCAGTGCTGGGATTGCAGGCATGCGCCACCATGCCCAGACTCAGTCACAGGCTCAGGGCACCCAGGGGTGGGGCTGGCGGGGCCTGTGGCACCAGGGTTGGAAGCCTGGCCCCTGCGCTTGCCTAACAGGTGCTTAGTCAGCTGAGCTATCTCGCCAGCCCTTTTCTGGTTATTTTTATTTTCTGTGTGTGTGTGTGTGTGTGTGTGTGTGTGTGTGTGTGTGTGTTTTTCTTCTCTACCTGTCTTTCTTTTGATGATTTCTCCTGTGATATGCTTTAGTTTCTTTTTCTCTTTTGTGAATCTACCATATGCTTTTGCTTTTGGGGTATAATTAGGCTTGCATAAAACATTTAGGTATAACAGGCTACTTGAAGCTGATAACAATTTAACTTTAATTGCCTATAAAGGGGCTGGTGAGATGGCTCAGTGGTCTAAAGCACCTACTTAGAACAAGCTAAGCAAAAATGCAGCGACCGCGGTTCAATCCCCAGCACCACATGCCAGCCAGCCGAGCCCCCTGGTGTGCTGAGCTGGCCACACACACACTAAATAAATAAATAAATAAATTAAAAAAAATTGCCTATAAAAAGCCTACAAGCTTATGCCAGTGCTGCCCCAACCTTTTATGCTTCACGTCACAGTCACGTCTGTAATATGCCTTTAATGATTATTGCAGCTGCCGCATGGGACCTTGGCTCGTGCGCACTCTGTTCACACACAATCCGGTTCTTAAACAAAAATGTTTGACAAAATTCTGGTTCCATTCGCAAACTCCACATTGGCTGACAAACTCACCGCAGCTACCTTCCACACAAAAACACAAATGCTGCCCTGTTCCCTCAGCTGTTAAATTAAGTTGATGAGCCGAGCCACTACGGCACTCATGTTTTAAACTGTTCTCTGGTTACTTTACAACTTCCAGTTGGGTTTTAAGAGCAGGGAGCGTGCCGCCCATTCTCTGTCTCAAATCTTGTTCCACGTAATGCTCCAGCTGACGGGCTCAGTGTGTAGCTTGGCATTGTTGTGCCTTCTAGGGAGCGATGCTGTGGACCCGCGATGCCTGCTACGCACCCGCACTTGTCGTCGTGTGCGCTGTTCCTGCCATCCTGCTGTGATAATGACGTTTTCCTCTCTCCTCTCTTCCCAACTGCAGCGTGCGCGTTCCGGTACAATGGGCTCTCCTTCGTCTACCTGATCTACCTCCTGCTCATTCCTCTCTTCTCAGAACCAACAAAAGCTACGATGCAAGGTAAGAGGCTTCGTTCTTCCTGAGCCAGCCCTGTGGCCCAGGTGTGCTGCGCCACGCTCCATGGCTTCGGCCGTCTCCAGTGGGCAGGACATCGTCTGGCACAGGGTGGGAAGGGCGGCCTGGGAGGGGCTGTGGACCTCGCGCTGTGACGCCCGCGCCCGGATGTTTCCTGCAGAAGTACTGAGCGCAGGGTTAGCTCTCAGGATCTCCCTGCAAAGTTTTGGTCCTTTCTTACTCTCCGTAAGACTTAAGGGCACAGGAAGGAGAAGCAGTGTTTTCTGAGGCTCTGATTAGCAAAAGCAGTCCAGTTTGAGAATTCATTTAATTGACCTCTTCTAGAAGTATAGAATGGAAATGAGTTAATAGTGTTTTTAACTTTTTTTTTTTCCAGTGCTGGGGATCGAACCCAGCACCTTTGCACTGAGTCATGTCCTCAGTCCTCTTTAATTTTATTTTTTGAAGACAAGATCTCACTCACCACTAAGTTTTCCAGGCTGGCTTGAACTTGGGGTCTTTCTGCTGCAGCTTCCTAGAGCATCAGGATGGCAGGTGTGAGTCTGGCGAACTTGCTTGTTTACTTAAACACGCCTCCATAGCAAGAAATAAGGAGCGTGCTGGCGCCGTGGGCGAGCGTGGCGGCCACCTGTGTGCGTGAAAGGAAGAGGAAGCTAGTCTGACCTGCCCCGCGAGCGGCCTGGGAAGGACCGTGCGGCTGCCTCCCTGGTACACCTCGCACTCTCCGGAGAAGCAGCGCAGACCCTGTGCACACAAGCAGCAAACAGTGGCTCCCACCTCCCCATCTCCACGTTCGTTCGTCACGGCAAGCAGCACAGCGTGGCCCGCGTCCTGGCTGCAGGAGTGCAGGTGCTGGCTTGCGGCTGTCCTGCTCTCTCGAGCCCGAGCACCGCAGCGCCTCCTCCCTCCTCCTAGACTCACTACACAGAGTGAGGCGAACCTTACAAGTGCGGCACCTTCCCGAAGGTCAGCAAGATGGTAGCTCGCAGCCCACGCCTGCTGCACAGCGGAGGGCTCATTTCTCAAAGGAAGGTTTCAGGAGTGTGGTGAAACTGCAGAGCTTTACAGAGAGCACCTCCTAGATCCATTAAACTACTGGTGCTGCCCTGAGCCAGCAGCCCGGGGCAAGTGGTGAGTCAGAGGTGCCTGAGGGGCTCCGCCAGGGCGAGCCATAGCTCCCGAGAGGACCACTGTGCGGCACCAAAGGTCAAAAGCAGGGCACAGCGCCTCCACCCTGGAGAAACCCCGTGATGGGACATGATGTCACAGGGTCAGGGCGCAGACTGAGCACAGTAGGTGCACAGGTGTGCGCCAGCGCTGAGTCTGGCAGGAGAGGAGGAAGAACATGGGCCAGCCTGTATCCCTCCTGTGAGTCCAGACACAGCCGTGTGACATTCTGTCTTCCTCTTTCCCGCGTTTCGGTGCCCGAGTCATGACCCACATTCAGCATGGCCTCCTGTATGTTTACATAATTGAAAGCAGATGGCTCTGAAAGGAAGGGCCACAAGGTTTTTGCATGAGCTCCCAAAACCTGTGTTTGGAGCATCGCAGGTCGCTCTCCCCTGGGAGTACAGGGTCCCGAGTGGGCCCAGCTGAGGTGGTGCATGCAAGGTGGTGCTTCAGGGAGGCTCAGCTTCAGGCTTTGGGTTCTGAAACCTTTCGGGAGTCTGCTGGCAGATCGCTGGCCAGTGCAGAGGGGTGCAGGAGCGCCGCCGTCCCTGCCCCCAGATCCGGAGTCTGCAGGGATCTGAATGCACCTCAAGAGCCGTGTGGCGTGGCTGGGTTGCAGAGGCCTGCTCCGCCACCCTCTGCCTTTGGCTGGGCTGACTGTGCATTTGTTCTCCTGCACAATCTGTTTTGGAGCTGGTCCCGCAGAGCCTCACGTAGTACCTGTGTTTAGTGCACATTTCTGATAGTGTGGGCTGTCAGGAGGCCGAGGTTCTTGGCTTGCTCACTGCTGTATTTCCCGGGCCAGAAGCAGGGCCTGAGGGCCTTGGCTGTCAGTGCACACCTGTGAAATGAACAGATGGACCCATGGCCAGGGCCTGCGCCCGGGAGCAGGCGTGAACACAGCTTCTGTCCTGGGCACAGCTCACCTGCACAGCCGGCGTAATGGACTGGTGCAGACAGCGGGCTGCTGGAGACCGAAGTTTGCACGGCAGAGGCCAAGGCCTTGGCCTCTGCTCTCTCAGATCTAAACAGGATGGGAGACAGAGGACCCAGTGCAGCTCAAGACCTCAAGATCATTTGAATCAGCCATGCTTTTCCTACCACGATGGGCACTTTATTTGTGCCCGGACACTGTTGGAAAGGAAATGAGCACTGTCTTGCTGTTCAGATTGTGCTTTGCGCCAGGACTGAGGCACTCAGCCATGAATTTGGTAGCTGCATGGCGGAGCGTTGCAAGTTAGCAGTGTACATGCAGATACACAGTAAGTGCCTTTCGCCGCGTGGTGTAGGGAGCGTCACGCCTCAGGCGGCGTGGTGGGTGGAAGTATTAAGACTCGGGGTTGCTAGTGCTCAGCGAGGGCTGGCTAACACTGCTGGGGTCGCTTTTAGGCGCAGTGTGATTGCTCCAGTGTCGGAGTGAGCTAGATCTGACCTACTGCAAGGGGTGCTAGAGCTAGTCTTCACTGAGGGATTAAAGTGCTTTGTAGCATCAGTAAACAAGTGTGACTTCCAAGCCTATTTCTTCTGAGCCGTTACTGATATTGCTGATGAACTATTACATGATATTGAGGCTAGTACCCTCGTGATGGGGAGCCCCTCACGCTGGATTCTAAGCACACGTTTATGATTTCTATGCATTGGTTAACTTAATTCTCACGGTGCACCTTTGATTGAAAATGGTGATCAAGGAGCCTGGTGTTCCAAGGTGCTCGGGCCCCTGGCATTTAATAAACGCGTGCTGGCTGATGGATTGGCAGGCTCGGCCTGAGCGACGAGAGACGCGACGTGAGCGGCCTGAGGCGGCGCTTCTGTCTGTGTGCGCACCTTCTGTGGAACACGTCCCGTTGACAGCCATTCATTCCTTCTTTCAACACATGCTAATTGGAAGACTCTCCACACAGCTCTGGGCTTGGCTCTGGACGGTGAGAAGGTACAGAACACACCGTGCCTCCCTGGAGTGGCCTTTGCTGTGCACCGGACGCCACCTGTTGTGCCGAGGGGTGGCTTTCACGTGGCCTCAGCAGCTGCCTGCTTACTGTAGGGATGCTGCTGCTGTGCTGCCGCTGCTCTGAGCAGACTTCATGCCGCCTCTTGGTGCTGCCCTTTGCCCTGGACCCACGGCCTGGAGGGGTCTGGATTGCCCAGCGGTGGGAGCCACGCTGGCTGGGGAATACTGCTGGGAAGTGTCACACTGATTTCAACAGGAAGAAACGAGAACAGGCAGTGTGAAGCCAAAGGCCTGAGGCCAGTGCTCAGTATGACTCGGGTTTGGGGCTGATTTTCCGAGGACTGCAAGGCCCACACATGTGACAACACATGCACTGATCAGCGTCCTTTCATGGTGGGCTGTGTGCACAGGTGGAGTTGTGCCATCTCGCAGGTTGGAGGAGGAGATCCCAGCTGGGACGGTAGCAGCCCGCGCAGTGTCTGTTTCCTGCGTTTGTTCTAGAATCCTGACGACCAAAGTCAGGCAGCAGCCGTGCGGTCCAGCAGAATGTAGACAGATGCTAGTAAGAGCCTTCTCGAGAGCTTGACAGTGGTTCTGCCCCTGCGCCATTGCCAGCCGCGGTGCTGAGCCCAGCTCCTCCTCCTCGGGGCAGAGAAACTGCTGCAGGACGGCACCTGCCTTCGGGTGAAGATAGGGCCTGCGGGTTCCTGGAGGGAGAGCCCAGTCCACATGCAGGCGCCGTGGCCTGCTGTGACTCTGGCCGTCATCCTGCAGTTCAGGGGCTGAACTGTCAGCAAGACGCGTCCTCCCTGGCTGGGGCTGTCAGGGCTCCCCACGAACAGCACTGGGCCCTTGTGTTCTCACTGCTGGAGGCAGGCCAGGCAGCCTCCTCGTTCCCTTTTGGGGTTAGTCACTTGCTGGGGCCAGCTGACCCCTTTGTGGGTGTGTTGCCCTAGTCCTACAGTCTCTCAGAAGTGTCATCTTTGGGCCAGTTTGCTCATGAGACGCTTGTGTCACTCACACACAGGGTGAAGGTCACTGTCTGAGGTGTGTGATTGAACGGAGCTGGCTTTTGTGCATTCAGAAGGTCTTGTTCTAAGTGCAGACAACCCTGGCGCAGACGAGAACTTCACTCCCTGGGGACAATGACAGGAGAGGCTCTGGAGCCTCAGCGGGTCTTCCTGACACGTCCTCCCAGAGGAGCAGGCCCCACAGAAGGACCTTCCCTTGCTGAGCTGCGCGGAGGTGGGGGGGGGTGGCGGCAGGCTTGTGGTGGGCTTGCTATCGTGGCGGGCTTGCTGTGGCGCCGCGTCCTGCACTGCTGTTGAGGGGGAGAGTGCTGCTTCCTGTTTGAAAGCAGTGAGCTCGCAAAGAGCTTTATTGCCTCCCTTAGCAAGCTTTGCTTTATTACTTGGACAAGGCGCAGACGGATGTGCTCCTACCCTCCAGTCTTTGCTAGCTGTGCGTCTTTTCTGTGCTCTGGGCTGTGGTCCAGCACTCAGGGACAGAGTTAGAAAGGGGCAGCAAGGGAGGCCTTCTCATTCTGGTGACCCTGTGAGCAGGAGAAGTCCTAGCAGCCGGGGGAAGCTCTGTGAAGTGCTTCTAACGCTGCCTTGGAATGAGAGGCAGGAGCAGATGTTAGGCAGCATAGCTCGGGACAGGGGTCCTCACTTGGCAGGAAGTCGTACTAATCCAAAAATGATCGCTGTGTACGTGTAAAATAAACACTGAAAGAGCTTTGTCCTGAGCTTGTGTCCTGGGATACACTTAGCTGGAGTCACTAATGGCAGCCAGGGAAGACGAATGACGTGCGGTGTGCCCACCTGAAGAGGCCAAGAGGCCTGCAACTTGTAAAGCTTTGTTTAGA